CCTCCCCTGGCTGCAGTTATACGGAGCGAAAAAGTTTGCATCCTGAACTGGCCTCTACCCCTTTCCTGTAATAGCCAAACTGGGCCCAGTTTGACAAACTGGAACTGGAGTGTGATCAGCCAAGCAGCGCCAGACAGACCTGAGGGCAGTGCCACCATGAGCAAAGGGGTAGTGCTGAGCGGGTGGGGATGAAGCAGGGAACACCACATCTTCCTATGGCACAGCTACAGCTGGCGGAGGACAGGCTGTCCGTCAGAGGCAAAGGGATGGGACACATCCCACCACTCTTGTCCCCTCTCTCTGTGCCCTGCAGCGCAGTCATTCTCGGTGCTCACAAGAATACCTTCAAGGGGTGTTTGTTAGCTGGATTTCTACTGGTCAGGGCAGAGCTTAGCATAAGGGCACACCTGCCCCTTCCCATCTTGCAGAAGGGCCAGAGATAAATGAGATCATTAATAAAACCCAAAACATACGCAGCCAGCACAGGAGCTGTCTAGGTGTAGTCATTAGGATAACGAACAACAGCTCTGTCTTTTTAGCATCTCCTTGCAAGCCTAGGAGATTGCATTAGGGCAGCAAGATTAGGGACAAGAGATAGTATGTGCTGGTCTGGACAACACCATGGCCCGTGGGATAATATAGAAGCATTGCTGTGATTTAGACAGGCTCCAAGTGTTGTGTGAATTATTGCAGATACTTTTCAAACATTTGAGAAAGCCCAGGGCTGGGAAGATGTTAACAAGACTAAAAGCAACTGTAGCCCAGTGTTTGATCTGTTTCTAGCACTCTCAAAATATGTCACTCTCAAAATACAGCAATATAAAGTTAGCTATATTTGCAATATATCTATAAATGTAAAAATTATAGTAATGCCTGGCTTCAGAGTGATGGATTAGTCTATCTATCTCCTTTCTAATGGCTAAGGCCTTAGACACCGTCACTCAAGTTGTGAAAGCACCTTATGGAGGTGCTTAATATTGGGAGATAAATAGTCACAACATTTCAGATTACTCCGAGCTGAATTCTGCCCTGTGTTACACCAGGGAAACTCCATAAGCCGAAAGTAAAATCTCTGTTTCAAACACTTTTTCCCAGTATACCATTTTGTAGCAGTTCTTGTCATAGTTTTTTTCTATTAAAAAGTTTAATCTAGTTGGGGTTGCCTAGAGGTGGTCAAATTACAAGCAGAAAAATGCAAAACATTTGTCGACAATTATTCCTTTTTTTTTTTTTCATAGAAGTATCCCTGTTCACAATTTCCCAAGCAGCTCTAGGGATGCATTTTCTTTTCTTTATATTTCATTTCATCTAAGTTGTGAGCTCAGATTTAAGTGCTAAATATCTTGAGTTGATATAAGAGGAATTTGAAATATCTTATCTCCAGAGGCCTGTGATTGAGTCTAGCAGCACCTGGAAATCTCTATTGACAGGCACCCAGCAAGCCATCCTTAGTAGATGGGTAATATTAAAACAACGTAGCGTGCATCGCAGCGTGCGGTATAACTGAAAACCCAACACAAGTACCCAAGTGCTGGGTAGGTGTTCTGTAACTGGTGCACTTGTGTAATGGTTGGCATTACTTTGACCAAATGTAGACGTCTCTTGCAGAGATGTCTATATATGAGCGGGTCACCCCAGGCTCCCTTTACAGCTGGTTGAGGGAAGCAGGCACTTCTGGGGCACAGTTCACCTCACCTTCAAATAGACAGCTAAACCAGGACTGACGAAGCCTCTACGACAAGTGTCCATCTCTTTCCATTGACTGTACTGGGACCCTGGGGGTTACTAAATCAGATGTTGACATAAAGGAAATGAATCCTACCTTATTTGCTTAAAACATGCTGTAACTTGGAGGAGAAAAAAAGCTTTAAGTGTGAGAAATAATTTGCCGCGTGCTCATTTTAAAAGAATGATTACATACGGGAGCATGTCTTATATAAAGGAATTTATTTAAAGAGTATGTTTTTAAACAGTATATATTTATGTGCATCCTACCGCAAGGGAATAATTTTGAACAGAATTAGGAGTTTTATTTTTTTAATGAATGGCTGCAATCATAAGGCAGCTCATGCTCTGCTTAAATTAGATTCCATTGCTGCTTTTCTTCTACTATTTATCTACTAAATAAAAAAGAAACGAACAATCTGGTATAAAAATCTGATTTTCTAAGGGAACCTCTGATTGCTCAGAAAGAGTCACTGCATTCTGGATGAAGAAAATTAATTCACAGCGAGTTACTTTATGCCAGTCACTGAGTAGTCAACTCAAGAATATAAAAGTCAGAAATGAAGGTGAAATAAGGAAAATTTAAAACTGTGGAGAAGAGATTTTATTAACTAATGTGCTCCTGTTGTGCATATATTACCCTCTAGCATTTTTTAATGTATCTTCTAATTATGTAATCAATGAAGATGCTGATGTTTACCAATGAAAGGATTTTTTTCCTGCTAGTACAGAGCCATGAATTAACTATAACAGGCCCACAGATCTCTGCAGCTCCCTGGGACTATAATATGTTGAAAACAGGTTTTCAGCGTGTCCTTTTAAATGGGTCAAATCTATGGGCAGAAGGATGGCATGTTTATGAATATCCCTCACAGACACCAACTGTGCCCAATGAAAACAAAACAAGGGGAGGGGTGGTTTAATTTCATATAGACTCTATAGCAAAACAACACACAGACGTGTACTGGGGAGAGATTAAAGCAAGAAAAAGGGAGAATGTTTCTGTGCAAAGGCTTTTCCTCATGCATCTCCGTGAATTTTGCTCAGTTCTGCACACTGTTTCTTCCCAGGTCATGGTGTACCTCTTCAGAGGTGCTTCTGTGTATCATTTCTCCCAACTTTGCTGTTCATGTCTTGACCTAGATTGAATGGGATAATTTACTCTAAATGGTACTTCAGTGTTGGGTGATAAATTATGTGTGATGATATAGATAATGATGTCTACAAGATAAAAAGAGGAACATTCAGCTGTAGTTACTCTCTACTCACAATCAGCTGCATCCTTGGTGTTAACAGGCTAGTGCCATCCACAGGGTGACCTGACTCTACACACTGTTGGAAATTGCATGCTAACATTGCCAGAAGCCATTACAGGTTATTCTTGTTGACTACTGTAATTATAATAAACATTATGTTCCAGGGACGAGTTCTTGGCTGTATTGGATCCCTGACATCCAGCTCCCATGCATTTCAGCAGGCTGAAGATTTTGCCCAAGCCTCATCCTAGTGTTTTCTTGCAATGAAGAGGCTTTGCATGAGACTTGTTTACATTTGGGTTTTCTGAGGCCCACATTCAGCCAACCTCACTCATCAGGGACACTTAATACATACCTGCCGCATACGTATCCAGCAAAGTTCAGAAGTGGAGTCTAATCCAAGGGGACAATATGGAAAGAAAAGATGCCCATCTGACTCTTCCTCCCCAGAGACAATTACTTAATGAATGATGATGATGAATCACATGTTAACGTAAAGTCATAACAGATACATCATTGTACAAAGGGAGGGTGTTATGATGCTCTTAGTTTGCAAATTTTTTTCAGGGATCTTGGGTGAACATGCCTATCCAGCTGGGGAGAGCAAATCTTATTGCTGTAGCTGAAAGCACGTTTCAGTTAATAAGATGCTAAAGATCAGGCAATGTAAAATCTTTTCTTCACAGGCTGTGGGCACAGAGCATGTCACTTGGCCTCCCTGTACTTAAGGCTTCTCGCCTTTTAGGGAAGTGATTACTAATTCAGAATAAAAGCCCAAATCGTCACTTAAGAATTAGTATTTCATCATTCTTTGTACATGGAAGGCAGAGCCTTACAAACTATGCCCCACATTTCTGTACCCTGTAACACAGTTGGTTGGGTTTAATATTTTCCAATTTTCATTTTAAGTGTCTTTTGGTTATAACTATACTGCTTCTCCCCACCATAACTGCATACCTTCTCCTACAGAAAAGTATACCTACCATCTAAAATATATATAAAGAAATCTAACCAACAAGGACTAGATGAAGTGTTTAAAATGATTTGTTGGGAAACGGAAGTTTTATAGAATAAAATCCTGGGGGAAAATGAGATCGAATTGCACAAAAATGGTTCTACAGGAAGTCACTCTGTTGTAATAACATTTTCTTGCAGTTCAGGCTAAATGGGACTTAAAAAGAAATGTGTCCTCTTAATCCTGATGAAGCCAGAAGTGTAATGGATGCTGCGCTAAGAGTCTTCTGAGGAAGCTGAGAGCACTGTCAGAGGAAAGAAGATTACTTGGGGATGGAGTGCACAAAATCTAGCCACCAGTTTTGGTGATCTTTCTGCAGAGAAATATAACTTTAGTTACCTGAATGGTAATCATAAAGCTGCAATCCAGGTGTTTGCCTGGATTCGTCTGGAAGCCTTTAAAAAAAAATTATGTAAAACAAAACACAGACACATAATACAAAACAAATACAGACACATCATCTGTTCAAAGCAGTTCCTTGTAATTAATCAGTGCTTTGAGGAGGAATTGTTCAGCCTCGTCATTGTTCATTAATTAAGAATGTGATGTTAGTGAAATCTGTTGACAAAAGTACGGCTGAGCTCAAGCTCCAGGACTGAGCTTTCAGCCGAGCAGATTAAAGCGGACACATTTCATTTCTTCAGTGGGTCCACTAACACAGCGGTGTCCTCACTCCTGCTGTAAGGTCATTCCATATCACTGAACGGCTTAAGGGACACATTGTGAAAGCAAGGAATCAGGTCATAGGGAAGTGTGGCGGGGTGCTTTTTGTTGGGAGAAAGCTATTAAAATAAGCAGAAGACAAGTCTTGAAGGGAGATTTATGTAGCTTCACATGGCAGTATTGGCTTCCTACATCTGCTAGAACAAAGGACCCAAAAGTTGCCCAAAATGATATACTGCAAGCAGGATTTATGGTGATTTTAATGTGACACAGAGCAGAAAATGTGTTCTCGACAAGATATTTATGTCTGCAACTTAAAACTTGTGCTTTGATTGTTCTAGATGATAGCAAGTTTTCAGAGGCCATCACAGTGCTGCTTACCTGGATTGAGCGAGGTGAGGTGAATCGTCGCTCTGCAAACCAGTTTTATTCGATGGTGCAGTCGGCCAACAGCCACGTCCGCCGGCTCATGAACGAAAAGGCCGCTCATGAGCAAGAAATGGAGCAAGCCAAGGAGAGTTTCAAAAATGCCTTAACAGGGATCCTCACTCAATGTAAGTAACTCCTTTTTGTCCAGTGTTGTTGTAGTGATGGTGGTGGTGGTGGTAGTGGTTTTTTTATCATTTTGTTTGTTTGTTTGGGGGTAAGTAGTTACAATGCAGTCATATTCTACTTCATATCCTATTCCATACTCTATGGCAATTTGGAGGAACAAGGACCATTCCTAAGAGCTTATTTCTCAAGGTGAGCAAAGTTTCAGTAGTTTTTTTATTAATAGACAAAGATGTGCTCTATGCATAATGTCTACTTTTGGGTAGACATAACGCTTCAGGAACGGACCAGACAGAAGCCTCCCTGCTCTGAGCAAAGATGCTTTTGTGGAGAGAAGTGATATGTAGCCTGTGCGTTGCAGCTAGTTAACTAGGCCAATTACAGAATAGAGGACAATTAGGTTATATTTTTAGCCTGGGTTTAGGTAAAAGGAATTAGGATTCAGCAACTTTTAGGGATATATTCACAGCATACAGGCCACCCCCACAATAGAAGAATATGCTGTACTGCTGCTGGCATCAGGACTTCTTGGCTGATACAATGCCAGTATTAATTTGGCAGATAAACTGCCTGAAATATTTAGTGCTGGCAGCTATTTCCTTAGTGCAGAAATATAATCAATGAAGTTACCTTAATGAGGTTCCTTCATAAAACAATAATTGGGATACTTGCTTAGAAGTGCTCTTAAAAAGGAAGGGAGGAGAAGAGAAGAGAAGAGAAGAGAAGAGAAGAGAAGAGAAGAGAGAAGAAGAAGAAAGGAGAAAGGAGAAAAGACAAGAAGAAAAGAGAAAATTAATTTCATTATTGATGGTTTTTAACATGTCTACTATGGTTGCTCAAGCAAGAGGCTTTATGACACTCAGAAGGGTGGAGCCTGAAGCTGGCTCTTATATACAAGTTCAAAACAAAACCCAAGACAATTTACCAGAGGTAGGACAATGCCATTGTTACATTGTGATTTCTGAATCACACTCCTAATCTTTACATTAAAAAAAAAGCCCTAAAGGCTTTTCTGCAATATTTTTCTGGTCCCTCAGTGGTCATCCTTTAGAAGTTAGGGATGAAGGCAGAAGCTTGGATGAACTTGCCTGGCTTAGGAGAGCAGCCCCTGGAAGCTTTCTGCATATGTGATAGAGAGCTCAGCATCTCAGAAGACCAATTCACCCCAGGGCACATGTCCTTCTAAATTAAGAGCTTAGGTCTTAGAAGGAAAGATTCTGGGCCAAAGAGGTTTGATTTCTGGGGACTTATGTTCAATGAGTAAATTTTAAAGACCAGCTAATTCCCTTGGTTATTTGCTAGGCAATGTCATCTTCCATCTCAGCATCTAAAAGTCAGTGTGAGGAGCAGAGATGCAGGCACCATGCATGGCCGTGCTGTTCAGTTCACACCAGGGCCACTGTAGTTTTGTGTGCAACAGCCATTCCTAGCATTCGGAAATGCCTTCTTCAGCTGCATTAAAAAAAGTCCCCCATTGTCAGCAGGCTGAACTTTAGTTAAATCAGTCTAAATTAGCCCGTTTGTCACCAACTGTTGTAGAACATCTGTCACTTGGAAATAGAGATCCCTGTAGTTTCAGGTGGAAAGTTACAGTTTTGGCGATATCTGGTTTGTTCCTGTAATGTGCTGAATGCTGAACTTACAAAACCAGAAATAGGTCTGGCTTCAAAACGTGAGTTTCAGAGTGCCACAGTCACAGAAATGCCTGGAAGAAGAGAGTTTCTGACAGATCTGGCCTAGGAGGACAAGGTCAGCAAAAAAACAGGCTCAGGGAAAGGTGTTACACTCTGTGGATTTTATAAGAACAAATTTTACGAGCTTTCCAAATGCTCCACATTGGTTATTTTATAAACATCATAAACACTGGCCATTATTAGCATTAATGTGTCTTATTAAAATTCTCTGCAAACTTGCTACGAACAGATGGATGATGTTTTTGCTTTACAGGTGTATATGCCTAAGATTGCTAAACATGGAGACTGTGAAATGAGCTTCCCTTTTTCAAGAATTTTCCTGTATTTGAGTTGATCTGAGGAATGTTTTTCCTGTGCCCTTTTCCATTGTTTTCTCACAGCCCTGTATAATCTGTTACAATATGTCTCTTGCTTTATGAAGAAGAATTTGAAAATACTAGATGTCCAAAATAGGTGTGTGTGGTTTATTAAATTCTGGAGAGTGGCAAAAAAACACTTCTGCTGCTTTGCAGTAAGGATCCAAATGTCTAGCGTAATGCTGCAGCTGTGTGGCCATTTGACATAAATATTACATTATTTTTAAAATACCATGTGGCATTCGTCTGTCATGAACTAGGTCAGATGTCCAACTCTGAGCTGACCATTCTGGTCTTTCTTTGCAGTCAGCAGAGAAAAATAAGCATTTTCAAGGAATGAGTCATCAGACCAACCTCATGGTGCTCTTCCAGTGAGATGAATCATCCCTTGGACATGCCATTTTTTCTCTGCTGTCCACAGAGGATTCGCAGGGGCCTTAGCTCAGAACCAGATGTCCAACTTTTTACATGCCTTGTTCAGAACAGATTAATCCCCCTTACCGTGTCTAGTCTTGATACAGAAGGATGTAGCGTAAGGGAAGAACTTGGAGTTAAATAAAAATGGCAGCATTGCAGCAGTGACTGTTATGGGGAGGGAAGAAGAAATACGTTAAGAAAATGGGCTTCATGTGCACTTACCTGGAACACGCACACTGTCTATGTAGGTCTCAGTATAAAATGCTTTCTTATTAATGGGGATTAGTGTGGCCAGAACATTTCAGCTTATGGCCCAACTACTAAAGAAGTACAGGTATTGAAATCCCTGCTACAAATTTCTGCCTGGAGGTATTTAGAAGATTACCAAGCGGATTACCCCTAAAAATTTGGGTCAAGTGTTCAGCACGTGAATTAATTACCTGACCAAGATACTTGTGCCAGGATAATCTGTGAAATAAAGTGTATTACTGCTGTGACACCACCAATTTACAGCCCCTGATTTAAGTTCTACAAGGAGTCTCAGCGTTGTGATAGTGCTTCTTCAGTTATTTAAGGGATAAAGAGAGAAAAATGTCAACCTCCTTCTTTTTTATTAAATTACTTCATTCTTCTAGATTTGAATCTGTGCTTAAAACATGGATTGTTTTCCAGGATTTTGGGTAGTTCTGTCTGTGATTTGATTTATAAATTCTTCCACTTTGCTTCCACAGCACAGTTACATGTGACACTGCTCCCTGACTTTCCACACATCTCCGTTTCATCTCCTTTCAAACCACCTTTTCAGCCTAAGGCTTATAGATATTGATCCACATGTTTAAGAAAAATGGAAGCCCTAGAGACATCCACGGTGGGCTGTTTTTTAGACTACACCAAAGCTGCAATTCTCTCCTCTGACTTTCTCTTCCATGCACTGTAAACTTCATCTACCTCTTATTGAGGTTTCAGACTATTTAGTGCAGTCTCCCTTGACAATATTTTCCAAAGTACCTGTAGGTGAGTGAAGATCCAAAATCCCATATTCAAAAATTAATTTGATATCTCAAGAGTCAGATACACAAGGGGGTGGAAGTGTCCCAGTATCCAAGTAGATAGATACGTAGTGTAATGAACAGAAGTGCCCCATGGCTGGGTACTGAGCAGCTTATGACACTCACTTATTTGGTCATTTTTGTCAATTTTACTAATGGATGACTCTTCAAGGGACTTAGGCACCAGGTCCCCATCAGGGTCTATGAATCAGTCTCTCATGTGCCTATGGGGAAACAGTGGGAGGGTAGTTTGTATCATGGAGTCCCCTGGCCAGATTACTTCCTTGTCACATGGTGGCCTTCACTTTCATTCTCACCTTGATCGTCAGGGAATTTCAGTGCCTAGTTATCAGGACAATCTTTTGGAAAGATATGTTCAAATACCCTGAATGCCAGTGAAGGAACTGAACTTAAGCCTCATTCCTCCCAAGAGTGCTCTAAATGGTGAGGTCCGGTGCTCTGAAAGGTGGTATTGACCTTCTTTAGGGTGTTTGACAGATGGCTTTTAGGCACCTGATCCAGAATGATGACAGCTGGAGAGAGATGTCTTCCTGCCTCCTGTAGCACCGCACTGAACAGAGAGAACAGCTGTATCTGTGGCACATCCCCAGCAAGGAGATGCATCTGCATAGTCTAGCAGCTAGTTAAGGCAGTGGCCTTATATGTGTTCCCAAGTGTGAAGCCCTTCCCCTGTACTTTGTAGGATGCCTGAGCTTTTAACCCACCACAGTTGATTACAGATAATCACCAGGGTCTTAGAACTTGTGTTAAAGGCCTGAATGTCAAAATGCAGGTCTGAAGGTGTGGATAGACACATGGTTCATCCTACAGGGCAAGCTGGAGTATAAACCTACAAGAGTCATTTATTCCAGTGTAACTAATCACAGATGGGTTCTTACCTCCTGGTGGACATGAGGGTGCTGGAAAGGGAAGCCAGTTCCCAGCGACCTTGAGATCCTTTTGTACATTAGCTGGCATCAGGGAGAAGAGATGTGCTGCAGGTTCTCACCCTACCTTGGCAAGCAGTAATTAGCTCATTGACTCTCAGCAAGCAATTTTTGAAAACAGGACGTAACCCCCCCCTAAATCACGTAGATGTGTTTAAAGGTTGCCATCCTGAATTTCATTCACAACGGGTAAGTGGCAACCCTACTGTTGGCATTAGGCAAGCCAGTGGCAGTCCAGTGTAGTGATCCCCATCACTCGGTATTCAGGAGCAGTATACACCAGTAGGCCATCCTGGTATTTCCAGGAGACCTTGTGGATGAGCTACATATTGACATGTCTTTTTTCCCCTTTCAGCTACTATATATCATGCCATCATAATAAGTAATAAAAGAAAAGCTGTTACAAAGTTTACCATAATTTATAAGTGACAGGATGCAATCTTCAGTAGTGCTGCTGGAGAATTTGTAAATTTTAAAATAGATTTTTCCATTGACTAAAAAGAAAATGTTGGCATCTTTTTCTTGGTATATATTCTAAG